TCTTTCTTTTTCTCTTTTTCTTGCCCCCTTTTTTCAACTCGTAGCCTAGGGAAAAAAAAAAAAAAAAAAAAAAAGGGAAAGAAACAAAAGGAACGGGAAAAAGGACTGGCTCGAAACGCAGAGTCAAGGAACGTGCGACGTTGGCCCTGAAATACGCGTGGTGATTTGTCTTTTTTGTTTTCCTCAAAAAAAAAAAATTATTACACAAGGCGGGAAACGGGCCCGGCTTTCAGCCGTGCAGGCGGATTGGTGTGCGAAAGTGCCACGTGTCACTGGAAGAAAATTTGTTGAAAACAACGTGCCACGTGTCATTTGATGAGCAATTGTTACGGTATTCCACTGACACGTGGCATTTCGTGACCAATTCAGAAAGTGCCGCGTGTGTCACGTGTCGTTGGGCTACGAACTGTTCCGAAAATGCCACGTGTCTGTGGAAAATCAATTTTTGTAACGAATTTGTTAGAAAAAGATGCTTACGAATTTGTTAAAAAAGTGCCAGGTGTTCTTCGGGACATCCGATTGGAACGATCAGGGGAGGGTAAATTAGCAAATGTCCCGTGCGCAAGAATGACTCGCAAAAAATGGAGAAATGATCCAAATTTGAAAAAATGAAGAAAAGCCAGGTGTCAGTGGAGGGTCAATTTTTTTATTAAGAAGTGCCACGTGTCAGTGTGCCGTTAAGAAACGACACGTGTCAGTTCACAATAGTGCCACGCGTCGTTAGATGATGATGATTTGTTGAATGAGGATTATTACCGTATGATGGGGGAGCGAATGGAGAGCGGGCAAAATGCGCCTTTCTGTGAACAGTAATTAAAAAAACCGTCAAAAATAAGGGAAAAATTATGAAAAGCGAAAAGCAAAGTCCACGTGTCCGGTAAATTGCTTCTTCACCACCCCACCGCCCACCCCCTTTCCCCACCCTTTCCCCCAACCCGCCCCCCCCCCCCCAAATGGAACGAAGCTCAACAGGGTGAGTTAATTTAATTTAATTAGAACGAAGCTCAACAGGGTGAGTTAATTTAATTTAATTAGTTTGAGCTTTGAACTTTGAAACTTAAAAAACAAAATATAAAACTTGGAAAACAGGAAACAAATGGCAACCAACCTTCTCTGCCTCCAATACTTCAGCTGCTTTCGACGAACGGTACAACAAGGCATCATGCTTCTGCTGCCTGCACAGACAGCGGCAAAAGCCAACGGGTCGGACCAGAGAGGTTCTTCAATAGTAAGGACTCAGGAGTATGCAACAAATTTTACGCAAGCAAAACATCGCAAATTGCTTGCCAAGTGTCGTTCATGTCGTTCGGGACATCCGCAAATTTATGCGTGTCATCCCTGCGCAGGGGCCATGCTAAACTTCTTTCTCCGTATCGTTCCAATTTTAAAGCACCAGTACACCCGGGCCTCTTTTTCTGAACCGCCAGCGGCACACTTTCCGAACTGCCAGCGGGGCACTTCTTTTCTTTTTTAGTTGGCGGTGCCAGCCAGTGTGGTGCGGTAGGCCCTAGCCGCAAAAACTTTGTTGTGGCGACAAACGATGTTTTGCTGCAAGGCTGGGGCCATGTACTGGTGCTTTAAAATTGGAACGATACAGAGAAAGAAGATTAGCATGGCCCCTGCGCAGGGATGACACGCATAAATTGAGATATGGTCCAAAAAAGACTCCAGAGTCCAAACTCCAAATCTTTTCGAGGGAAAAATGAAAACAAAAAAGGGTATGGCCTCAGGGAAAATCATGCACTCATGCCACTCAAGCAAAAGATGGCTTTTTCTTTGTTGTTAAACTTTTTTCAAATTTTTTGTGAAAGTTTTTTTTTCTCCCTTTTTAGCTTTCTATTGCGGAAATGTGGGGCGCACAAAGAAAGGGAGCAGGGAGGGAGCAGGGAGAGAGGGAGGGAGGGAAGCCGGGCAGGAAGGGGGGGGGGGGGGGGGGGGGGGGGGGTGGAACGGAATAGAAAGTGCAAACCCTGACTATGGAATTCTAGGAATTCATTGTTGTGTTTAGAATCTTTAGAGTCTTTTGTTTTCTCAAAAAAAAAAAAAAAACACCGAGACCAAGGACCCTGAATCGCCGAGCACGTCTGCCCATGCCACACCACGAACGGCGACTGCAAAGTGAGAACAAATCTGTTGACGTCAACGGATTTGTTCTCTTGACGTCAACAGATTTGCTCTCATTTTGACATTTTCTTCATTCTCACACTGAGCATGAAAAAGCACAGACTTACAAAACATTTGAATATCTCTCAGTTTCCCGATGACACACACTGGACTCCCTACCCGGGAGCCTGTCAAATTTTCACCGAAATTGACAAATTGTTATATTTCCTAAGAGTTTTTTACTACCTAGTACCTTCTTCCCCCGAATACAACGTGTGGTCATCATAGCTGTATTTAGACTGAAAGATACCCTAAATAAAGCTATAATGCCCGTACGTTGTATTCGGGGGAAGAGAAGGTAGTGGTCTGCAAAACAGCAGCAGAGTGCACTGCACCACTTGCGGTCAACTGGGGGGCCGTCAAATTTTCACTGAAATTGTTGTTATATTTGCTAGGGATTCTTAAACTTTTTGAGTCTTTTTCTAAATTTGTTTCGGTCACGGCTCGATTAACCATCTGTGTTCAATGCAGACAAAGTAGAGGTCGACGGTCATACATTGTCACGACTCTTCAGAGTTTAAACTTCAAACCAGGACAGATACC